ATCAGACTTGTCTTTATTTACATGATTTCGAAATTTTTAGATCCCTTTCTGGCCGCATCGTAGGAGGGGCCTGGTGGTTTTTTACCCTCATAATTGTCAGCTCTTATACCGCGAACCTTGCTGCTTTTCTCACTGTTGAACGAATGTCCAATCCGATCCAGTCATATGAAGATCTGGCCAAACAGACTCGTATCAAGTACGGCGTAATCAACTCAGGTTCTTCTAAAGAGTTTTTCGAGGTGACTTCCCCATGCTTAGCTTTGACCTCTTTCAGATTTCATTATTATTATCGTTCTGCTATTTCTAAAAAGAAATTTCTGTATACTGGAGTCAAAAAGAATTTTTTGAAACATCTTTCGTACGAGCATTAAGTCTGAGTCGGCTGCGCTGCACCTTTGCGTACACTTGGGAATGGCCTCGGAATACGAAAATTTAGCACTTATTACAATGGAATGAATCATTACTTTTAATCTAGAGTATGGCTTCAGTCTTATATTTCTATGCTTATAGAGAGAGTAGCTTTATATTACCAAAGATGCATGAAATTAATTATTTATTATATATATATATTTTTTTTAATATCACACCTTTAAATGAGGTCGTATATCAGCACAAGACTATAAATAATGGTAATTTAATAAATTATCTGATGTCTCAGCAACCTAATTTTGAGGAAAATTTACATCATTAATTGTTTCGTTTAAGTTCATGGCAGCTGAACTGATGCTTATAAATTGTAACAAAGCCTAGATTGTGTGAAACATTGTCCTGTTTTCAGCTTTGATCTAACTTAGGCTCTTCAACTGCCAATCTCTATATTGCTAACCAGCCAATTATTCACTTTTATTTAGAATCCAGCTTCCTGATAGTTTCGCTTTCTAATTAAATCAATCTAAATTTAAGATGTGGCCCTTTAGTTCTTTCACCTACTTTGCAGTAAAACTCAACTGGCTCTTAGTGGCTAGTTAGGCCCGATATGGGGCATTTTTGTTATGATTGCTCCTTATGGATAGACAAAATGACCTTTATTGAGTCGTCTCTTAATTCCCT